CCCTAGCAAGCCCTGCTTGGACCACGATCTGCCTTTCAGAAGCCAACAGGAGACAGTAAGAGTGATCATATTTATTTCTAAATCATGCTGCAAATGTTGGGAAAGGTCAGAGCAACAGAGCAGGTTTAGCATAGGAAAACCACTCCAAACACTTCTAGATATCCTAGGGTGGGCCAGTGATGGTTAAACGTGGCATACCAAAAAACTCTTTCAAGAAGAATGACAGTAACAGGAAGAGAATTTTCAACATCTACTTAGATGCTTAACATTAAGTTGCTTGCAAATAAGTAGGAGACTCATCAAGGAGACTCACCATCCTTTAGGCAAAATGCCTAGACCTCTCTGATGCCCCCACTTGATGCCTCTGCAAGTCTTTCCTTCTACTATAGGACTAAACCAGTTTCCTAGACGACAGCTGCCTGTGCCATGCTCTTTTAAAAGCAACTCACCATTTATCTTTTGCTGGTTAGTAAAGCCAAGGTCAGAATGTCTAGTAGGGTGGGGTGTTTGGAAGAGCACTACATGCCGTCAGTGGAACTCTTCATTAGGCTGTTCTGTAGTTATCTACCTATAAGGTGTGCAGCGAAAAGAGTGACTGTTTACACTAGAGCACTGACAGCACCGTGCTGTTAAAGTGTTTACTTTTATGAAGTGGCTTCATACTTACACACAGTTTGACCTGCTTATCTGATAGCTTACCCATATCTCCAAGCATGCTGTTTTAAGTTTAATTTACCATTAGCACAATGACACTCAATTGCAGGGCAATTACTGAATTCCTAGATTGCTTAAAGATCTCATCCCAGACCACTTGCAGTAAGTATGGAAGTTATAGTCATTCATGTCTTATTGCTTAATTAGAAAAAAAAACCCAAAACCCACAGTAATTTCAATCCTAAAGACGGCTGATTTTGCTATAAACAAACTATTTTAACCATCAATTTTAAAATTCTACTCACAAGAATACTTCAAATCCACAAAGGAACATTATTACCCTCTGTATTCTGTCTATTGGGCAAAGGATCTACATGAATCACTGGACATTGACTTAAAAAACTGAATACTGACCTAGATTTTAGTCTTAAATTCTGGATATGGAAGAAGAGTTCTTATATGTCACATACCTGTCCTTTAGCAACAAGAAGTAAATGAATTCTGTAAGATATTCAGAGTTTTTCCCTCACCAAGTGACTTCAAGGAAAAATTCCAACTGTGTTGTAAAGCAAAGAATGTTGCGGAGCTTAACAGGTCTAAGTTTCTATCTTTTTTTTTTTTTTTCCCAAGTCCAGCCTAACTGAAGGAAAAGAAGTCAGAATTTTAGTTTATCATGAATTAGCAGTGGAGAATATAAATGAGTTCAGTCCTTACACTATATATAATTCACGACTTCATACACAAAATACAGCTTTTAATAGTAATATACGTGACCAGATTTCTAATGAATTTGGTTTAATCCACACAGTTTATAAAATGAGGTGCAGGAAGCTTAACCTTTGGTTTCTTTCTGTATCAAAGATTTCTGGAAAACAACTGATTTTTGCATACAACTTTGACACTGCAAGCATTAGTTCCATGGTGAAGCAGACATTAGAATTGGGCACTAATTTTTCCTCCCTCCCCTTCTCTACCGAATCACCAAGCGTTTGTTGCCGTTGCTCTCTTCACAAGTAAACAGCTTCAGTCTTGTTCATGGTTGTAATCTGGATGACAGAAAAGCCAAGAGGACCAGCAAGAGGCAGTGAGACCCAACAGCGAAGGCAACACGTAGTTGTGTTAAACAGTATCTTAGTAAAATGAGACACACAGACCATAAAATAGGAAGTAACATTCAGTATGCCTTGGCTTCTTCAACTTCTCATCAAAAGGAAGAGAATATTGGAACTGGTTTATGTTAACAAAATATGTCTGAAGGTAGGCATGGCCTCTACAAACAAACACTGAGAATTTAGGAGCTCTCCAAAATGTTGGCATTTTGTTCTGGAACACTGCTATATTTATTTTAAAGTGATTCTTCCTCCCCTCTGCAGTATTACAATGAAACTGTGAACCTTTTGAATGGTCAGCTGACCACTGACCTGCTCACCAACTGAGCAGCTGCTAAACATCTATAACTTGGTATTTGGATTTGGTTAAAAAGGGTGAATGTTACACTGACTCAAATCAATTTTTGTTTAGAAAAAAATGACATTTGTGGCTGATGTGCTAATACTTTCTTGGTTCAATTTCCTTTTTACAGTGAAAGGGGGATAAGGAAACAGCCTTTAAGTTTTTCTGATAAGGGAGAGATAGATACGATACTCTTCAAGGAATTGTAGATGAGCAACACCATACTTGCAGAGATAAGAAATTGCCGACGACAGATTATTTCAGCTTCTCCAGAGCTTTTACATTCTGAGGTCTCCTAATGCAGCATGAAGCACAGTCAAATTGTATACATGTATGCCTTAATACTAGAGGCAAACAAGTAAAAAAATCAATTGCTTCTGTGGCATAACCAGAGATTTAGGTTGATCTGCACCAGTTGTGGCATTTATATAACACCACAACACTGGTAAAGCTGGTGCAGTCTGAGCTTTCCTAGTGTAATTCCATTTTTTTGCAGAGAGCTTTTGATAGAACTCCTAAAAGATATCCCACCTTATCACCCCTTGGCCAGCTAGTAGACTAGACAGTAGACCTAGTCTTCTATTCTCCTAATATTAGTATGTATCTCATTCATTTCCTGTGAAACCCTCAGTAGACAACTGGTCACAACATTTAAAAGCCACTCAAAGGCAAGGAAAAGCACAAAGCCAGCTTTCTTTCTCTTTTTCCTACTGCTTGTGCAGTATGGCTCAAGGGTGAGATTAGGCATACTCATTAAAAAGACTCCTTGTGCATGATCCTAATCTTGCTAGAAGTGAATTAGAAATTAGATAAATAAAGATCAGGGTTTCCCTGTCTAAAATTAATGCTATTTAAGGGAACTCTGCCGCACAGTGGCATTTTGTGTAATCTAGGTCAAGAGTTAAGGTTAACAGCTAACATAAAATGCTTTCAAATTAAATAAGACATTTTTTATAATGATCTTCAGAATATTACTGGGGCTACAGTATAATGCTCCAACATACTAGAAGAAGTCTAGACTGCAATCAGTTCAGCTAATAAAAATTTATGTGGTCCTTATGCACAAATTGCTACTGATGTCTAGGCTTGCCCAGGTACACATACATTAGCTGCAATGATGACCACAGTATAAACTCAACCTTAGCATACGACCAAAAAAACAGGTAGGGTCTTACTCCCACAGTGCCAAGTTCTCATCCCATATGCATAGCAGTGCTTAGGACACCTAACTCAGAATTCATTTACAGTTTGGGTCACTCCGGAATGGTCATAATATTGGTTAATTCAATTTGAGACAAAGCAGAAGCTGCAGAAAACCAGTAATCAGCGAAATTGTATGCAAAAGCTAACAAGGGAAGAAAAAAATTTGCTGGCGTTCAATAGCAGACACCTCGTACACATGTTTTACAAAGATTAAGTTATTACCTGAAGGAAAAGATAGAAAAAGCAAGCAAAGTTATACCTGTGGATTATTCGATCTCATACATAAATATAACAATTAAAACCAGTTCAAGTATTCCATCTGACAGCCAGGAAGAGGCACAGTAAGAGACTGGGAAGTAGATAAAAACTTTCAGATTCACCCACTTGATGTGAAATCAATGTTAGTAGAGACAGACTGAGGAAAGAAACTGATGACTGAAATCACAATACCAAGTAAATAGTAGCCTTCAATATTTGACAGCCAGAAAGCACACTCAATATTATGTGCAGACCCATAATAACAAGTAATTTAAATTAACACACATGGAAATTAATGAGAAATTTTAAATTCCAATCATGTTAAATTGTGTATCAAATCCCCCCCTCCCAAAAATCAAATTTTAATCAGTGCTTTTCCACTACTTTCTGTCAAGTTGGTATCAGGATCTAGGAAGCCATGTATGGCAAGCACAAACTCAGAATCACTTCTATGTAGCAATGGTGTTTAACTGTGATACTATCCCAGACAGGAAAAACAACTACATAATACCTTTGCTTTTGAGTTTCAGACTTGCAAAGGAATTGTCAGTTAGATGTGGTGACCTTCTTCCTACCTGGAGATGAAAAATTCAAAAAAACCTCTTTTGAGTAAAACTGTCTCTGCTTCTAGAAGCTGTCCTCCAGTAGCAAGGATATCATTCCTCAGAGCTGTAGTAATTTCACTGTCAGAAGCAAACAAACAAGCTATAGCAACCTCTTAAAAATACTTCATATTCCTCTGCAGCTGGCTAAACAAGGACTAAAGTAGTCTCAAAAATCCCTTATGTTAATTTGAATAAGCATTTGTCATTAAATTTCAGGCTTTTACCTTTTAAAAAATTGTTTGGTATATATCTTGGTTTGAATCAAACCTTGAAATAAATATTACACATGGAAAACCAATATTGAAGTCTGGAGTCCTATGAAGACAACACTGAAAGTGGCCAAGCCTGCTGATATCATGCAGACTCCCAAAAGATGAATGAGATCAGGATTTAAAAAACAAACCAAAACAAAAAAACACCCAACAAAAAACCCCACACCAAAGTGAAAAACACACCATGTCTCAAATAGAAATGTACTCTCTGTACTACCATATATATTGTTTTTCTGGTCAATGGTATGTCTCCAGTTTCAGAAGTAATGATACAATATCCTGAAGGCAGGGATCCAAAAATTTCTTCACTTTGCCATAATACTGTAGACCTTTTACAATTAACTTGGTTCCTGCAGCTGGAACTCTATAACAGAAATACAGTAGGTGCTTTGGAATACTTTCATGTTCTTGGATAGCAGAAATTGGTAGGAAGCAACCAGTCCAGATTCAAAAGTTATTTCTTTTCTCCAGTTTAAATACGCTAAGTGTCTGCTAAGCGTCACTCAAAGCTGCCCACACTCATCCGTGGGCCTCTTCTTGCAGACCAGATGGCCTCTCAGGCTTCATGAAGTATCTGCGCTCCCAAATTAAAAACAAATTTGGTTGCATTTGCTTCACTGTTTACCAGAGCCTGCAGGCTGGCTTTAGTCAGAACATTCTTCCTCTACCTCTTTTACCTCGCTAACTTCAACTTCAGATCTCAAAGAGGATGGAGGAATGCAGCTGAACGTTCGAATGCTGTGTGGATCAACTGGTGGCACCAGTGTAAGCGACTCTACACTTAGTGCATCCGTATTGTCATCTGTTATTAATGATATTGTGGGCTGCTGTGCAGGAATCAGGCTAGGAGACAGGTTTGCTGTTTCTAGGTCACTGTTTTTTACAGCATTCTTGCTAGACTTTGAGACAGCTGAAAGAGTTTCATCAGTCAACATCGTCTGACCAGAAATTATCAGCTGACCAGAAATGGTCATTTGAGGCTGCTCTGGAGCTGAAGTGTCATCTAATAAAAGAAAACAACAAGAAACAATCAATATTCTACTTAGTACATACATTAAGCCTAACAGCATGCTATTATTTATAAAGATTAAAGAATAATTGGGTGGAAAATGCAGTTCTGTGAAGCACTATGCTTACACATTCACTATTTAGTAATTAGAAATAAAACAACATATCACGAAGGCCTAACATAACATCCCAGCAGGAACATGTTCAAACTGGGAACCAGAAAATTTTACACATTTAGTATTAGAATATGCAGCAATACCAGAAATATTCTAGAGAGAGGAAACTGAGGGGAAGAATGAGACAGCCTCTCCAGTATTTAGAATAGACTAAAATGAATAGCCATCCCATACCAGGAAGCTATTCAGAAATTAAGAAAAAGACTCCCCTGTATCACTGCTTTTCCCAAGAGGTGGCTGGTTTCTTAAAAAATTTGGAAGTCTTTCCCTCATCTAATGTGACACCTCAACCACAGAAAGCAGAACCATGGAAGAACGGGAAGGAATAGAATTTGTTTACTGTCACTGAAGGGTGCTGCAAACCAGGCCCGTTTTTATACGGGCTTGGTTTTCTGTGCTCCTGAGCACGGAGCATACACCACAGAAAATTGGGAATCTGCACTACATACCACAGGAAACTGATGTGCTGTTACACCTTCCCACACAATGAAAAACCCCCAAACATTAGCACAGCTGTCTGTATTGTCATCCTAGCTAACTACCAAGTGAACAGCTCATTTGGCTCAGAGGAATGGAGGAGGCGACACAGCCTTGTATGAGCAAGCATGCCCAGAAAATTCAGGGGGGTTTATCTTTTCAGACTAGGGTAATAGATGCCATTAAAGTAACAGGTATCCAGCTTCAAGACAGACCATTTTTAGAGTTCTTGTAAGAAACAGCATGTGTTCAAGTGTACAGGCATCTGCAGAAAAGTCTACAAGGCAATGTAGTGAATACAGAAGCTAAGAACTGGGTTCTGTTTTTAATATGCAGTGACCTTAAAAATATTTCCATTTCAATATGGTTCCAATTAATCCTGTAAAAGAACAGAAGGCATGAACGTAAGGAAAAAAAAAAAGGCAAAAAGCTGAGAATGGAAGGGGTATCAGTAAGGAATCAGTGAGATAGCAGTAAGATTACCAGGTTTACACCTTGCTGGTAAGATAACTCCCAAAAAAGGTGTATTCTTACATCAGAAAACCACCCAATTTTATCTTTTGCTGAACCAGCGGCTAAAGCTTCTTGCTTTAATAAAACCAAAATTGACTGTAAAAAGAAGTCTCCTTTTAAATAAAAGGGACATCACTAGTTATTTTTGAAAAAATAAGGACAGATTCAAAGTAACTCTGCAGATTCTTCTTTGTAGCTATCAAGAAGCTTTAGTGAGAATGTAGTGATTGATTACAGAGGAAATGATGCAAGACTTGCATGGAAAATGAACTGCTAAAAACATTGAAAAAGCCTAATTTCTCTGAATTCCAACAAAAATACTAACATTTAAGTACACACAAACCACTGAGTCTCTTTGCAGTGATTTTACTTTCTGAATTTATAAAATCTTGAAAGAACATCAAACGTTCTTTGCCAAGATTATTTTTATCTTAAGTATAGCGTGAATATTCACCAAAATTCAGGATTCAGAAACCTGAAATGTTCTGGTAAATAAAGTCTTATCAACCAATGGCATTCCGCTCAGGAATGTTATATACAGCAGATTTCTATTGCAGTTCTGCTATTTCACTTTGATTCTGCAATTTATTTGTTAAATCATTCCTCCCCCACCTCCAACAAAATATTAATATACTCTTTCAATACTTTCATTTACTAAAATCATGGCAGACATACATATTCTTTTGTTTTGCTGTATTCTCCCCAAATCCTTCCATGTAGGATCTAAATTAATGCTAAAGTGACTCCCTTCTTAATGCCACAAAAGTATTTGAAAAAAGGCTTCATTTAAAAAAAAAAAAGTATCTCGAGTAAAGAAGCCCAAATTTTCTATCCAAAAGTCTGAAAATACATTCAGAAAAAATATAAAACTATGAAAGAACATGAGCAGAACATGCTCTGTCCAGTATTTTAGATGCAGTATTTCTAAACAGAGAATACAAACTTACAGCTTTTCAATGCTTCCCCCTGCATTTATTTACTATTGATAGAAGGAACTCTCTCTACTTTCAGTATTTTGTTAGTCACTGTCAGAGCCTCACTTCTATTACTGTTCCTGCATTTTAGGGTAGCAGTGACAGATTTCTGTTACACAGCGTGGCATTACTGCCAAAATGACTAGGTATTCACAAACTGGCACTTGTCCTTGCAGGGGCAAAAAGTAAATACCAGTAGACAAAAGGGGTGGGAGAGGGAGAATTTTTAACATTGTCTAGAAAAGATCAACAGCTCTGACTACTATTTTGCAATATGTCATCTCTTCTGGACTAATACTTTCTAAAAATCTTACCCTTCAATCACAGCTATAAACTACGGCTGTGAAAGTGGTACTTACATCTTTGTGGCCAAGCTCCCAAATCTGTATGCTAGTTGAGATGTATACTCAGGTAGATTTTTAAGCATGATCGTCTTTTATATATTTTGGATACAAGAATAGAGGAAAACAATCCTAGACTACAGATTAAGGAAACTAAATAGAAAAGAGAAGACGGAGATCCAGCATCTGGGAATGAAAATTTGGCATTTAAGAGGCATTACAATGAAAAATTCAGACCATCCTCTTGATGTTAAAAATTTTTCACGTATAAAACTGCTCAGTTGATTGAATACATGGCTTCAGGACAATAATGACTAATGAGAAAAACCTTTGAAGCTCAACATTTGAAAGCCTTTTGAAGTCATACTCAATTCAGAAAAGGATCCAAGTGGATAAATATATAGTTATGTATGAGCTGGATTCTCCAAGTCTCTGAAATTGGAATAAACAATTGGCAAAAAGATACACCCTAGATTAAAAAAAAAAAAAAAAACCTCAAGAGGGAATACTACTAGAATGTAGGTCTCTAAACTCCAAATAGGTTCCATGTTCTTGATTCAAAAGAGTTTCAAGGTACCCAGTATGTTTAGAGATTAAGTTCTCTACCCATTAACTGGATCTTCTGTCTATACCGCACATAAAAATACTAACTGGCTTTCAAAAACCTCAAACTCTTAACACTTGGTTCCAGTTTGACTTTTGGATAGAAAGAGCAAAAGTAATTGTCATTTTTACCTGGATAAAATCACCAGTCACTAAGATATGCTCTACTCTTAAATATAAACAAGTTATCATCTAGTATGGGAAAACAGCTTTTCTATTTATGTCTCCCCAACCCCCATGTATTTAAGCAAGAGTGTTCTGGCAAAAAAAATAACCTAGAGCTGCAACAAAGCCAGGGAGAGCGAAGGAAATTTTTTGTTTTGTTTTAAAACAGTTGTGATGTTAACGTTTAGTTCTAACAAACACTACATATCCCCAGTTTAAGTACTAAACAAGCTTTGAAAACAGGGTGTCATTTTGCAAGTTTTTGGGTATTATTAGCTCTCGCTGGTTGCAGTGGCTCCAGCTACTTCGGTGTTTTTCACCTCTTCTATAATGCTACCAAGATTATCATCACAATAAAAAAATCCAAATCACTCAACTTCTGTCATACTAACTTACATCAAGGATGATTATTAGTGAAAGATGATAGAAAGGAATGGGAAAAGGAAAGAATGAAGATCATCTACAGAGAACTCTCCTAAGCTGTACAGCAACACACTTTGAAAGGATAACAAAAACATACATGGACATTAAGTGAAAAAGATGTAAAGTAAATCAGTAAAGATGAAAAAGGGTGTTTATATATTATTAACAGAGTCAAATATCTTCATGCCGTGAGACTAAAAAAAAAAAGAAATTAATTAGATACAAGTTAAAACAGGTTATATAAATAAGAAGGTAGTCTGAAGCACATTTCCATCCTTTTTGCATCTGCTTCCCCTCCTCAGGCAATTAAACAGTCCATAAAGCCTTCTGCCTGAGTCTGATGATCATAGGAATATTAAGCTTATGCCATCACAGTCCAAGGACTCTCACGCTGAATGCTTGTCTGTTTTACCTGAGTAATAAACAGATTTGTTGCTGCTAGCCAAGGACCTGCATTACCGTCCATTCAGGAACCTGTGCTTACTACATTCCACTACAGCCATGGCTGCCCCTGTGCAAATGAAGACATAGCTGCTTTGAAGCTGGAAATTCTGCTATCACACTCCATCTTTGGCAAGAAAGCCAAGAAACATGAGAGAAACTGCAGATAAGGTTTTCAGAAACCGCTAATCATTGCTTTGCAATTCTCCCCCCCAAAACTGTAGAGAAATATTTATGAAGCTTTCTTCAGTTTCCTACCTCACTGTCACTGCTGTCAGCATGGAAACCAAATATGTTTTATTAACTGTTATGGGCTCTTGAAAGCTTATGGAGGAACCTGCCTGAATTGATATTGCGTGAGTTTCTGTTGCAGCTGCTGCTTGAAGACCTAAACCCAGTGTCCACCGTGACTGTCAGCCTCCGACAGACTAAACACCCGCCGACGTCCTTTCCTGCCAGACCTTACTAGAGGAAAACACAGCGATATATCATACGAAGGCTTTAACAATGAAACAAGGAAGGGAAACTGGAATGAAGACAAAGGATAAATGTTAGAGCAGCAACAAGAGTAAGTGACAAGGACACATCCATAACTGCTGGTCTCTGGAATACAATTTGACACCACACCAAGAGCCTCAGAAGTTTGCAAAATACTTCTGAAGCTGGAAGTATTCGGACATTAGAAATCAGAGAGTTTAACCAAATTCATTTTTTGCTTACCTCTCTGGAAATGTTCATAATGCATTTTGAGCTATGTCTGGCAATACTGAGAGCACTTACTCTACGGAGAGACTGGCAGGCATTTATTTGCATTACAAGCTACTCACATGCTTTAGAAATCTTGAGAGAAGCTATTTATCACAAATTCTGGTGGCACAGAAT